TTAGACAGACACCTGTCAGGGATGAGCTAGGGCAACTCAACTTTGGAAGCCCCAGGGACCACACTGATACTTACAGAACATGCTGAGGGCCTCAACTTAAGTGTGGTTGCATATGCAATCAAATATATACAAATAGTTTCTCTCACACTGACAGGCATGAATACAAAGATTAAGGCAAGACTACACAACACACAGGCCCCATTTAAGTCAGTTCTGCTGATATTAATAAAATGCAATATTTACCCAATTTCTACCCATGTAATAGCACTTTTCATGAGCAATGACAGTCCAAGAATTTAACTACTAAAACACATATCAACAGAAGATCATTACACTGACTACTTTTTTGTTTTGGCTGGCCATGAGTTGATCCTCGCATATACCCAAACTGCACCGCGGGGTGCAAACAAACTGGCTGTGGGCAGCATACCAAGATATTAATAAATATTTTTAAACCGTTACCTTTTCTCTCTGCTGCCATGTCTCCTCTCCTTGCTCCATCTCCCCTGGTGCCTGCTGCCCACCAACTCCTCACCCTCCTCTGCTGTCCTGAGTCCTGCCCTTCTCACTGCCCTCAGCCCTCCTGAGACCTGCCCCCTCCACGATCACCCCCCCGCCAGCCCTTCTCTCCCCTCTGTGCCCACTCCTCCAGTAGCGCCACTCTGATCATGTGAGCTACCCTTCCTCATCCCTTCTTCTAACATCTCCCTCTACACACCTGCCCTGCCTCTCTCCTTTGGTGCTGGTCCCTCCACTGCAGGTGTCTGCCCTTCTGCTTCACCCCAGAATCCCCTGGCACCTGCACCCTCCTTGTGCCTCCCTCTTCCCTTACTGCCCCTGCCCCCTTTGCCCTCTTTTTCCCTGATATCCACCCCCTCACCACTCTCTGCCCTCATGCCCCTGTGCCCTCACACATGACTTGCTCCATCCCCGCCTTTCTCATGCCCACCCCTCCTTTCAAGCCTTCTCCCAGCACCCCCCCCAGACCCTAATGCTCTTCCCTTCCCCTCTCCTCTCCCAGAATCACCCTGGCCGCCCTCCCACTGACACCTCCCCTCCTGCCCTTTTCCTCATTGTCTGAACTTGGCCCCCTGCCATTTGTATCTTCCCTCTCCCTTCCACCTCCGCACAAGCTCCTCCCCTCCCCACAAGCCCCTTCCTCTCCTGCCCCTTCCCCCTAGTTTTCCCCCTGCCCTGCCGTACCTTCTGCCTTCCACTTTGTGGGGTCGAAGTCTGCGCTCCGGCCCCAAAAGTCCACGGACTCTGAACCGGAAGCTAGGCAGGCACCACGCAGCACCGACCACTTTTAAAGTCCCAGGCTGTGACGTCACGTCACGCCCGGGCATCTCCCCGGTCACCTGGAAATGCTGCACAGCATGCGCAGGCAAGGGGGAGCAGACTGAACACTGCACACGGCAGGGACAGCCTGGGGCTGGGACGGGACGGCCATATAACTCGCTGCCCATGCCAGGTGAGCCTGTGCAGTGTGCGCTCACTCTCACCCGGCCTGGCACCCCCCTAGTGTGGCGCCCGGGGGCATTGGCCCCCCTGCACCCCCTTCGCTACACCTCTGCCAGTTAAACAGATTGTTTAATAAGTTATCAATTTCGGCAGTTTTCCCATCTCTACTTTAAAGTAGTGCTAATATCTGCAAGTAGTACCAGTTTCCAAGAGTTAACAGTACAGGTATCAGCAAAAGTCCATGAAATTGAAATGCCTTATTTTTTTCTTTGTGTACTTAATACAGTTTGTAATGCTTTCCTTTCCAGATTTGGACATGGAACATTTATGGTTTGTTTGGAAAATATTTACAAGAAGATCACTGGCAAAGAACTGAAATATGAGGCCTTGATGGGCAAGCCTAGTGAACTGACTTATCACTATGCAGAGTACCTTATTAGAATGCAGGCTGCACAAAGACACTGGAAGAAGCCTATTCAAACTCTTTATGCAATTGGGTAAGGGAAAAGATAATCAAATATGCACATTAGGAAATTGTTTGCAACACAAATAACAGTAAGGAAAATTGTGGCTTCCATTATCTTATTGCTAGTTTGTCCTAATCTTTTATTTAAACTTTTTTTGAAAATCTGTTTGTGTAAGTTATTGTTATATTCATAGAAGTTACATTTTCTGTTAAACCAAATTTCTGACACTGTGTGAACAAACCTTTTTCAGTAGATTAGGGCCTTCCAGGATGCTTTCAGTATTTTAGGGTAAATCGTGGCATCTTTCTGATGTTTTAATTCCTCCTTTCCTTGAAGTTTAACTGATGTTGTATTTCTCAGTACAGGTGTATTGGTAGCAACCCCTATGTTAAAGTTGCCTAACACCATTATAAAAATTCTTCAGAACTATTTTTTTATTTTTTTTATTTTAAGATTGGGCATGGTTTACAGCAGGACTTTGAAATTTAAGAGAGGGATAATCATGGGCAGAGGGAAGTGCCTTTTGCTGGCCACCTATAAATCTCTTCAGATTTGCCCAAATTATAAGATATCAGGATCAATTTTCTTCTGTTTTTTCCTCAGTGCAGCATGTTTTAACAGCTTGCCAAAACACCTCACTTCCAGCTGCAGGAAGGTTTATGGGATGTATGAACAAATTTAATTCTGGCATTTCCCAATTTTAGGCTTGCTTGACTTTGAAAACCAATAACATTTCCTTTAACTACTTTATATGCAATAGTTTCTTTACATGAATTTGGAGCAATGTATACATAACTCCTTTTTCAAAATTAAGTTTTATTTTCTGAAGTAGGCCATGCTTAGGAAAAGGTGTTTGATCTTTAGGTCGTTGGTATATATTATTGGCAAGGACTGCTACTAAATGCGTGCTTTTTCTGGCCTGCTGGTTGTATTAGAATTATTCATATCTATGATGTTTCATGAATTATTAAAATAATAAAAATAGCTATTGTTAGGTTGTCTTTTTTCCCCTATCTGTGTATTGAAGGAAGATCATGACCAAAGACTTCACCACATATTTTCTTGTATTTGTATGGAGAGATGGAATTTTATTTACAAAAAAAATTGAAAAAAAAATTTCAGTACATCTGATATCTGCTGATTTGACTGTACTTTGCCAGTGAAACCATATTTTTCGCTTTCTAGGGACAACCTAATGACAGATATCTATGGTGCTAACCTTTATAATCGTTACCTTGAAGAGAAGAATTCCAGAAAAGGTTCCATAGGACGTATCCAGGCCAAAGTTGCTGCTGGGATCAGGTCTGCCACTATTTCTCAGGATGATGAAATAGACCACACTTGGCAAAATGAACTAGCACCTGCTGCTGCCACCAATTGTAGGTCAGTTCTTGTTTGTACTGGGGTTTACAATCCTCACACAAAGGTGCCCTCTGATACCAGGGAGAGTATAACTGAGACTGTATTTCATGGTCACAGAGATTTTAGATTTGATCCTGCTTTGGTAGAGCCAGACCATATTGTACCAGATGTTGATGCTGCTGTAGATCTCATCTACCAACTGGAGAATTTTGCACCTAATCAATATACTAGAACTTTTTAAGGATTACCTAGTGCTCCTCATCCAAAACCACAACAGGGTTTACAGCATAATACAAAATGTTGTTTTCTAACATGTTTAACCCTTTAACCTAAATGTTTTAAAACACTTTTCTGAACTGGTGTCTCTTACAAGGGACTGCAGAAGTGGCCTTGTTCACTCTAATTACCTCCTGGTTGTAATGTTATGAAGAAACTAGAATTTCTATGTATTTTAAAATGTATTAATCATGTTTCTAATGTTTCTTTTTCAGTTGTATTTAACTGCAAATAATGCAGTTGGTACCAGAGAGATGCAACAGTGCAAAGAATGCATAATATTTTACTTGAAATTTCAAACTAGTGTAGTCACTAGTGTACCTTAGATTTCATATGCATCTGAGTTTGTCATATGTCATCTTTCTGTCTGTCTCTATCTTTGTCTTAACACGTAACTGTTCCCATGGCTCCTTTTTTTAAAAACAGTGGTTTAATTTATTAAGTCTGTTACTATTTTTATAAAACATTTTAACTGTTTTAATACAAAGATTGTTGTCTGAAATATTATTTATAGTTTGCTCTAGTTATCACAATTTAGATATACTTGCAAAGCATGCTCTTACATGTCATGTGCTGCATGAGCAAAATAACCAAACTAACTAGCAAGTTTTAGACCACGGATATAGAAATATCAGTTAATTGTAGGATGTGCAAATTCTCTTGCAATTTCATATGCAGAATGAGCGCTGGACTGGAATCTTTTTTTTTTTTTTTTTATAAAACTCAGAGGGGTAGCCGTGTTAGTCTGAATCTGCATAAACAACGAGGAGTCCTGTGGCACCTTATAGTCTAACAGATTTATTGGAGCATAAGCTTTCGTGGGAAAAGACCCACTTTGTCAGATGCATGACTTCTTTTTTTTTTTATAGATGAAGATCCTAGGATCTGTAAGTGTGGTTTAGTGGGTGTTTTTAAATGCAGATGACACATTAGGTCTGCTCACCTTAAATAGGAACCTAAATACTAACAGTGTTCAATGAAAAGACCTTCTGGCCAACTTTTTTTTTTTTCCCCCACATCTTCATTTAAGTTAGCAACATGAAATTGAGGGAGGTGTTAAGTCATTGAGTGATGGGAAAAGAAGATATCCGTCTTTTCAAGCAGTGTTTTCATTACTCTTTCCAGATTTTTTTTAATCCTTTCTCTACCATTGGCATTGATGAAAGTCACTCCTAATGTTGCCATAAATAAATGCCAATAAATGTTAACAGAATGTAGTCTTCCAGGTTTAATTGCATTGATTTGAGTGGAGTAGTCCTCCTGCTTCTCAACTGGAAAAAGAATAGCAGCAATATTGTGCTTATGGCTTGTCTTTACTGGTTCTTTTTGTTGTGACCAATGGCATATTCCTATTTCCTTAGCAAGCTGTGTCATCTAAGTGTACAGCATGCTTATACATAAAGACTAATGCCAGAATTATGCTAAAGCTCTGCCACATTTTAGTATTTGAAGCACACTGCAGAATTCTTCAACACCTAATGAAGAAAAGTGGCTTCAGCATACATCATGGAGAAATGTATGGCGGTTGATGAAGAACACCAGAAAATTGTGTGTGTGTGTGTGTGTGTGTGTGTGTGTGTGTGTGTGTGAAATTTTCACATGTTTAAGAAGACTTCACTCCTTCAGAAGTTCTTTCAGTACTTAGTCTGATGTACAGCTTATGCAAGACCAATGTAGGCAGCTTGTTCAAATAAAACACTTCAGCTATTTGGAAACCATTTAGTCATATTAGAGATTTAGCAAAATACTTAGCACAGTACACTTGCTAACAAAACTTTCTATTACTTGTTGAAGTCAATTAAGCTTTAACTGGAAATAAATAATTTAATAGCATTGAAGTTTCTTAGCTGTTTACATGTCTGAGAGGTCTTATTTGTTCATTTTGTTAAGATCTGTTTTTAACTTAAAGCATACAAAAGCGATATGCTAACAAAAAATATAACCCTTTGACTTCTGGGGCTTCTGTTTTGGGGTAGGTGAAGAATGCAAACTTGTGTGACAGAAGTGTTGTACAAGTAATAAATGCCACCTAAATGCTGTGACAGCCTTTACCAATTTACTACAGTTCGGCAGTGTCCCAAGTACTGTAAATTAAACTAAAATATGGTGATGCCATGTTTAGGAATCAGATAAGTAAAATCAAGATGCAGAAATCCCCAAAGGAAATATCCAAATGGGACTTCACGGTGGGAGAGGGCTTTAATTTACAAATCTGCATGGTAACTACATGCAATGGAGCACTGTGGAGTCAAAGGTAATATTACACTAGACATAGGAAAAGACCAGGGACATGAGTTCAACCATTTCTAGACACTTCCAAGGCAAACACTAAAACTGACATTTTATAGATGCTGGGGTTTGAAAGATGCTTTTTCCTTATTCTGCCCCATTATCTCTTTTTGGTATCTTCTTTCACCTGTGTCGGGTTCCTACACTTGTCACGCTGGATTGGCAGTGTTTACCAGAAACCCTATATAAGCATAATACTGTGCAGGTACAGTAGAATTAGCAGATTTAAAATTTAGTAATACAACAACTAGAAGACGGTTGGTGTTTGAGTTCCCAGAAAATAGAAGGTATCAGAGGGGTAGCTGTGTTAGTCTGAATCTGCAAAAGCTACATGCATCTGATGAAGTGGGTCTTTGCCCATGAAAGCTTATGCTCCAGCACTTCAGTTAGTCTAAGGTGCCACAGGGCTTCTTGCTGCTTTCGCAGAAAATAGAACTTGCTTCTCACTTCTCTGAATGTTTTATTTTTCATTTTTGTACTTTTTGAAAGTGTCTCCTGTACTCATTTTTACTGAAATAAAACTGATAGTATTGTTAATCCCAAATTATGTGCACTCTTCTTTCATAGAACCCGTGCTTCCTTTAAGTTTGGAAAACAAATAGAAACATCAGGATTCAAATATTTAAAACAAACATACATGAATAGATTTTGAATCTCTGTGAACCATCAGTTGCACAGGATTGGTTCATAAACTGAAAAATAATAGTTGTCAATTTGAAATTCTTGGCTAGATAAAATGATACAAAATAGATAATTCCTTTCATTATACTCACTACATTTAAGCCAAAGTTGTGCCAATTGTAAGAATATTTCTGATATTATTTGTCTTCATTATCCACAATTTGAAGAAATTCTACTCTTAATTTGTAGTGAATTTTAGGGGTTTTTAAGTTAGTTTTTTGATCAACTTGACTCTTAAAATCTGCCTGTGAGCAAACTGAAGGTTTTTGGGGGGTTGTAGGTTTTTGGGTTTTAATCTATTTTCTTTTCCCAGACTCCATGTTAGAAGCGTGCCAAGTCCTAAGTGCTGTCCTATATAGTAATCCAGTCTGTTTAAGAAAATGAATTACTTTCACAGTGCATTCTTTTACATTTGTCCATATTTTAAATGAAGGTTTTTATGGTGAGATGAAGGTGTACACAATGCAATCACTCCAGTGTTAGCATCAGTGGAAACTTTTGTGAAAGAGTATCTTGCCCCATTCTTGGAAAAGCTATATAAGTATGTTACTGAAATGTAACACGCGTAAGTCTCCAAAATCGTTGCCATTAGTTTGCCTTGGTCTTGCTTAGGTGGAATTGGCACTTTAGCTTGTTGATGCCATAGAGACATGAGCAAGGACCATCAAGTAGGCTTCCTGATGAGGTATCCAGCTGCCTTGTACACATTTTTAGGGCCACAAACACTCGACAAATGTTTTCCTTAAAGGCTACAAGATGCTGTTTGCAGCTCATGCCCCACTGCATGGATTCTGTACGCTGCTCCCTTGGGGGAGGGCTGTCCTGCATACTAATTAGTACATGCAGCCCAGCATACATGAGCGATAAATTCCTACAGCGGCCATCCCCAAAGACGAGAGAGCAGTTCCTCACCAGTAACCGTATCTCTTCTGCAGGGTTCCCAAACCGTGGTATGTGAAACGCCTCCGGGAGGAACAGGAGAAATTGCACAATGGTGGATTGTATTTATTTCAGTTACTGCATTTTCATTATAGGCTACTCAGCTGAATCTTTTAAACTGTGGGAATTGGTTGTTATAAAATAAAGTAATTGGTTGATCTCCAGATGTACCACTAAGAACACAGACACTGCAGTAGAGCGCTCTCCCTTTCAATCACGGTGCAGTGTGGGTTCAGGTGCCTAGCCAATTACCCAGTTGAACTCCACACACACACAACCTCTGAGCGTGGGGAGGGGGAGGGGAAGAGTAGTTGTACATGTAGCTCTGTATGTTTGGAATAGCTGGCTAAAGGCAGGGAGTATTAAGAAGAGCACACAACGTATCACAAGGAGAAGCAAAGTGATTCAATTAGCCTGGCTGATACAAGTGCACTGATGAAATTGCTGGCAAGATGATGATTGAATGAATACATGGATCTCAGCCTGTGAAGTGAGAGGTTGACACCAGGAACCAAATAGGATCTGTACCGGAAATATAAATATGACAAAAATACACAAGAAATAGGACTGGAGATAGTGATTAACCTCAGCTGTAGGATGTGTTGTGTGGTGGAGGCCTGGTAAGTGCCAGCCTAAAATACTCTCTTCTTTGCAAAAGTAGGGCACATGCTGGAACCTTTCCCTGTCACTCCTCTTCACATAAGGCTCTATCCCCAGCCAGGCCAGAAGCTGGAGTCAGGCTAAAGTAAGCCACCCAGGCCATAGCGGGGAATCCAGACCCTCCACCTGAGCTGGACCAGGCATGCCTGGGAACAGCCCCTGGGCTGTGTCCCCACTGATGTTCCCTCTGATTTTTCCCATCCCAGTGCAGAATGAATGTTATGTGCACCAACGCATGTGTGTATGTGCACCATCAGTAGAAACACATGTTGCTGGTTATGGGTGCTCTGCTAATCAGCTGAGTGACACCTGAATTTCTCCTGGGTGGCTGCCCTGCGGCACAACTTGCAGGTGTAACCTAGCACCACTGAGAAGAGGAGCATGAAGTCTGCTCTACACCCTTTGCTATGAGCCCTTTGGCTTTTAGCTCATGAGGTAGATGTACATGGCTTTGGCTCCTAAGGTCCCAGGTTCAATCCCTCCTGCTGGTGACTCAAGTCTGTTGGCTTTATTCAAGGCACATAGTGCCTTCCTCCTTCTGGGCATGCTGCCTAGGGAAAGCAGAGGATTCAGGGCTCGGTTTCCTGGGCACCCCTTAGTACTGCCCAGCTCCACCCCACCCAGGCCAGAGGCTGGACAATGGGAGAGAGAGAAGAGCAAGGGTTGTGGTTTTTTGGCATGGAGGAAACTAAGGCCCACCTCAGCCTCCCCTTTCCCCCGGGAGGAAGCTGGTGCTGCCTTTGAGTCTTGGACAGGTGTGGAGCAGCACCACAGGAAATCCAGAAAAAATGCGCCTCGAGTCATTCAAGCTGGGACTGGGACTGCACATTTTAGGACTGTCCTGCCTGATTTAGGACTGTGATCACCCTATTGCTTCTGTACAGGCTTGGAAACAAAACATGAGCAACACAAGGACAAACCCCCAGAACTTTTCAAATAGATGTGGGCACAGCTAAGGCTGAGCGTGAAAGTTTTGCACTCTGCTGCTGCCGCCACCAATATTAAGGCACTTGAAGCATCGTCCTTAGTAAATCGCAAAGGTGCAAAATTAGGGGAATCTCACACCATAGCAGAGGAATTAATACCATCGGCAGTTGTAGTAAGCATGATGCTTGAACAGAAGGCCCCAACATGAATTTAGTTAGTGCCATTATCAAACACAGTGTCACATCAAATTGATGAAATGGCCAATGATATCCTAACTCAGGGACCTGTATTTCTAGCTGCCAGTACTTGCTCTCAACTGGACGAGGAAATGGTAAACTGATGAGCCTGGGTACAGCCCTCTTCCCTTCCCTTCCCCTCCCCTCTGCGGCCTCTGTATAGGAGGCAGTGGGGGGCGGGGAGGTGGGAGCTGGTGCACACAGGGAGCTGGCTTTTAAGCAGGCTCCCTATGTTACTGACTGGCACAGATCCACCTTCCTCCCTCTCCCTGGCTACGTCTACACTGGCCCCTTTTTCGGAAGGGGCATGCTAATTTTGAAAGTGGGAATAGGGAAATCCGCGGGGGATTTAAATATCCCCCGCGGATTTAAATAAACATGTCCGCCGCTTTTTTTCTGGCTTGGGGAAAAGCCGGAAAAAAAGCGTCTAGACTGGCCCGATCCTCCGGAATAAAGCCCTTTTCCAGAGGATCTCTTATTCCTACTTCAAATACTTCAATTATTTCAAAAATTAGCATGCCCCTTCCGAAAAAGGGGCCAGTGTAGACGTAGCCAGGGAGAGGGAGGAAGGTGGATCTGTGCCAGTCAGTAACATAGGGAGCCTGCTTAAAAGCCAGCTCCCTGTGTGCACCAACTCCCACCTCCCCACCGCCTCCTATACAGAGGCCGCAGAGGGGAGGGGAAGGGAAGGGAAGGGAAGAGAGGGCTGTACCCAGGCTCATCAGTTAACCATGAGAAGTATTAGAGCAGTCGCTCCCAATGTAATGTGGTGGTTTGCAGTGTATATAGGGAAGCAGTTGCTGCTAAAAGGAGGCCAACCAACTTGCAGGAGGTGCTGGAAAATGCTGTGAAGATGGTAAACTTCATAAAAGCTTAACCCTTGAATTCCAGAATCTTTTCTGCTCTATGTAATGAGATGGGAAGCAAGAAAATCAAGCTATTGCTCCACAGAGTAGTTTGATGGCTGTCATGGGGCGACGGACCTGGCTCTAATGACCTGACTACTTGTCAAATGTAGTCTCTTTCCTGAATGAGCTAAATCTAGGCTTTCAAGGGCTGAAGGCAACCATCATCAATGTTCAGGAGAAAACTGAGTCCAAGACAAAAAAGCTGGAATTGCTGTGTGGAGGGAAATAACACTGAAATTTCCCAAACATGTAGGAATTTCTGACAATGAACAAACCATAGTCACAATAGCAAGCAACATCTCACTGAACTGGTGAGATAATTATGTGGGTACTTCTCTCAATGGGAAACACAAACAGATGGATCTGCTACCCTTTCACAAATGTTTCTTGTCAAGACTAGTCAATGAAAGAGCAAGAGACTCTCCTGGTCCTCAACTAATGATGGACTTAAGAATGAGGTTGAACAAAAGTTGTTTGGATGCAAATGACAGCAGAGTTCCCCACGGGGCTGTCAAGTTTTTGATGCCATTTGCTACAATTTACATGTGTGGAAATGAGTTTTCATCACTCACTAGAATGAAATCAAAGTATCTTCATCAGCAATGTTGTATAGAAAACAACTTAAAGAATCAAACTATCACCTGTCACTCCAAATATGATATCTGTGCTCAAACAGATATTTCATCCATCACATTAATGGTGAGTAGTAACAGTAAACCATTTTTAAGTTGGTCAAAAGTAAATGTACATTACAACTAAAGCTATACATTATATGTATTATAGTCCTAGGGATTGTATGCTTATGTGTACTATAATTTGTACATTTTGTGCAATGCTTGCACATTAATAGAGTTAAAATATAAAACCTGTATTCAGGGGTGTCCTTAGTATTTATGGGACCCTCTGTATTATTATTAAACTGGTGTCCCTATTATGCCCAATGGTAGTTGGGAGGGAACTACAATGATTTTTGAGAGATGTGATTTTATAACCTTCAAACTGATGAACCCACTGATGAAATATTTTTTTAAAAAATTTTAAACTAAGGTCCTGTAGACTAATACAGTATATTCAGAAACTGGTAGTATATACCTGGGGCTGTCACGTAGGAGAGCTACCACTCTCTGGACCAGAGGATTTATTTAGTGTCAGCTTTGTATAGGACCAGATTCATATCCTCTAGAGGGCAATAG